TGGGTGTGTGTGTGTGTGTGTGAGTGAGTGTGTGTGCGTGTGTGTGTGTGTCGGTGTGGTGCTGTTTTTGGTTTGTGTGTTATTAGCGTGTTTATTATGTTAGTCCAGGCTGATGGATTTAGAGCTTTTCTTTTGCACCTCTTCACTCTCAGATACCATTTTGTTTTGCTGTCCGTCTTTTCCCTTTTCTCAGTCTCTACACAAGAACAGTCACAAATGAGATGTGTCCCAAATAGAGCTGAATTATAGTATGTGACAGTATTTACCATGCAGCATTAGAAATGTATCATACTGTTTACACTGCAGTATATATATTTGCACAGCATGGGACTGCATTTAGTTAATGCAAGGAGTAATCAAAAATATAGAGCAGTGTGAAAACCAAACAGAGATTACAGTTACAGAATCTCAAAAATCGTCTCAAAGTAAGATTTGCCAAAATAACAAAATCTTCAATCAGGAGTCCAAATATGAACTCAAAAATTGAACATCAAATTCTTCAAGTCTAAATAGTCTGAGCCGTTACAATTATTCATTCATCTATTTATATTATTCCCATTTTTTTTACACACAGACACACAGACACGCCATAAACCATATATACCTGTACACACACATACACACACACACACACACGCATACACACACACACACACACACACATATTTGATAAGTAGCTGTGAGCGACACCATGTCGCTTGAGCTATAAAAAGTGCAAACTCTGAGAAATCAAATTTTCATCTGTCTCTTTGTCTTCGCACTAATCCTACAAATTCTCTTCAAGAAAGAATTTCCTGCTTTCCTAAACATGCTGCATTGGTTTCTGTCCTCCCCCGTTTCATGTAGCAGCTCTGTCTCGTCTGCCCTGACCCTACATGACCTTTGATTTATTCTGCCAAAAAAAGAAAGGATGAAATACAGACATGCACACACTGTGGGAAAAGTGAATGAGGCAGAGAGAATGCTGTGATGGATAGAACAGGAAAAAGAGGAGGGGGGTTTGTGAAAAAAAAAACATACTCTTTGCTAGATTCCCAGAGTCCCACATTGCCCAAGGGACGAGAGAACCAGAGAGAGAGAACGAGAGAAACAAAGCTGATCGCTGATATCACAATGAAATTGGTTTGGCACTTTCTGTTTGAGCAGATTAATACAAACCTGACCTTACATAATCATAATCACAGCTTTAAAGTGTTTGCCAAGCTACAATCAACTCAGAGATTAAAGTAGTTCAAATGTAGTCAGGCTGTGTTTGTGAAAACCGAACTATATCTTTTTAAATATATAACTTAGATTATACAATTTGTAATTTAATCAGTATTTTTCAATAATGATGGTTTTTGCATAAATTAAACATCTCAATTGAGGACTAGCATTAAACACATATATTTACACTGAATAAAACTAATAAAATGCTAGAATGAAACAGAGAGAAAGGCAGTTATAAACAGCAGTGTTTACCTGGATATGTTTACTTGGAAAAAAAACTCTGCACCGCTTACTGGAAAAAGTAACATGTAACTGAAAAATGTACACTATTTTTAAAAATGCTCTCTGTCTGCCACACTATGGCCTCGTACACAAGATTCAGGAATGTCAAGTGCACTTAAACGCTGGAGTGAATTCCTTAAATATTAAGTTCCGTTTGTGTCCGGAAAAAAAAAAATCACTCCTGAAATTGCGATGTTTGATGGTGCACCGCTGACAGAGACGTCATGTTTTGTTTCAGCTTGGAAGACTGTTTCAAGCATGCTCTCGCAGTGTTGCCATGTCCACTTATTATAAGCATCTTTGGGCTTGTTGTTTGTTGCTTGGCACATAAAGCTATCCAGTTTATGGAGTTGATAAAGTGGGCAACAATATCTCTGGATTTCCAAAATACAGCATTTGTACTTAGATTTATTTTGTACAAATATTAATAACAACTATTTCTTCAGTTCAGTTTCGTACACACTGCATAGAACTATTGTAAATGTGGTTCCCCTTCAGGAACTCGAGCTGCGTCGAGATCGCTTTGGGAACGCCCTTGCGTGACTGCGTTCTGAAGCACGTGTCAAATCCGTCCAATGGAGCAGCGAGACGTCACGAGCAGGGTGACGTAAGCACCAGAAAGCATAAAAGCGCATCCGGCCGGGCGCAAACCAGCTTCTGCTCTTCAGTAGCGGTCGGTGTATGTGTCTGTCTATTTACTGTTGTCTGTCCGCACAAGCACTCACGCTACTTCATCGAAGCTGGTTTGCGCTCTGCCGGATGCGCTTTTATGCTTTCTGGTGCTTACGTCAACCTGCTCGTGACGTCTCGCTGCTCCATTGGACGGATTTGACACGTGCTTCAGAACGCGGTCACGCAAGGGCGTTCCCAAAGCGATCTCGACGCAGCGTCTCGTTCCCTCGGGGAACCATGGTTACATACGTAACCTAGAGACGTTTTCACTACCACTGAATTTTTCGGGAGATAATTGGGTTGTAGAATGTGGTTGTCACTCCAGTAAAGGACTAAACTGTGTATGAACAGAACAGGATTAAGCACGAAAAGGTGAATTGCCAACTGAGTTTAGCTGGAGTGTGTATGTGGCCAGAGGCGGACTTAACCATTAGGCAAAGGTAGGCGAGCGCCTTGGGCCCCCAAAAGCCAAGGGCCCCCTAAAATGCTTTTTATATGCGAGATGCGCGTTCAGTGCGGACGCACAAGTGGTTGCTGTGGTCTCCGCACGTACGACAACCGTCTGTGCGTCCGCGTTGAACGTGCTTCTTAGCAAAAGTAGGGCGATGTAGTTAATGGGGACGGAATCCCGGAATCTATTCATAAAAACGGAATTCACTGTGTAACGCGGAATGTGACGGAATGAACGGCGCAGACGGCGTTTCGTTTGCTACTTAAAATAAATAAAAAATAAATGTATATTTTAAAGTTTAGAATTAGACA